AGTCTCCAGACTGATTAGCGAGTGAAATCATGAAAGCTGGCGAGATCAGGATGGTCTCACGAGGCTACCACCGTACACTAGTCATTTTTCTACATATGACAGCACACCCACATGGGTTGTTTTTTTTGCCTAATCTTAGCTCCATCTAACTAAAACTGTGACCCCTAGATGATAAGCAAACCAGGGAGACTCAGGGATCCAAAGACCTCACTGCAGTCCACCTGATTTTCCCCTTTTTGATCATTTGTTTATTAAAAATGTCCAAAAACAGGAAACCATGTATAATTAGTCAGAGGTTGGACTCAAAGCATAATCTAAATATTTTTAAAATCACTTAAAGGTTTGCAGAGTCTATCAGATTTACTAACATCTGTAAAGCTATATGCATGATTTCAAAGGGCTAAGATTTCATGCAGCCTATCAATAATCTATAAAGGTCGTTCATGCAGGAACCCTGACATCCTGATGTATTGGAGAAGCACATTATTGACTTGAAGGCTCCTTTGACTGATTTTGCCTGGTAACAGTGGAGTTTACTGAAAGGCTTAATCAAATCCGTCTGATAGCATCAGTCAATGTTGATCCACCTTCTATGCAGCTGCTGGTGAACGCGTGTAAATGAGAAGCAAGTTCATTTTAACGATCCAATCTATTTATCTGCATGTTTGTTTCATTCTGATGAAAGATTCATACTGGGAGAGCGCGGCTGAGTTTGCTGCATTTCAGAGAAGACTGGACATTTCTTCCATCCAGCATCACGCACTTTCAGCAATTCACCCGTTATTTACTGAGGCAGGGTTTCTGCAAAAGGCTTTTTACGAGTGCTTTTATTTTTTATTTTTTGGTGGGGCCATTCAAGGCGCAGGGGCCAATAAACAGCTCCCTGTCTTCACCCTGTTGCTCTGCAGAATCGCAGCTGATTTCCAGCCTTTTTCTAATAAAATAATCAGCAGATGTCCTGTATGACCGCGCACGCCCCTCCCTATGCAGGTAAACACAGACTGCAGGTCAGCCGTGCGCCGTGGGGTTTGTAGAGGCTCAGAGAGGATTAGGTTTAGTCACCTGCCGACGGAAGCAGTGAGGAATTAGGACAGAAATCCCACCACACCGCGCAGGTCAAGAACTAAACTGAAACTCAGCAGCGATCCAGTGGAAGGAGAAGCAAGACCATAAACTTTTACAGCATCTAACAGTCAGACAGCAGAGGGACGTGACAGTGAACCTGAGTGGAGCAGAGAGGCTGGAAAGCCCGGAGATCTGCCCCGATCCAGGGCGCGCAGGAGAGGAGTGACCCTCCGCTGATCCAAAGCTCGGTTCGGTTCTGCTTACCTTGAGCAGCCAGGATGATCACCGCTGTCACCATCCAGGCGTTCCCTCCTGGAGAGCCCCGGCAGCGCGCTGCGTAATCTCTCGCCATTCTTCTGCGCTGAAGACCAGCTGGAGGTAAATATCCAGAACAGCGAAGTGCGCAAAGATCGGACTCCAAAATGATTCCTCCTGCAAGCCGCTGACTAACTTACAGCTCAGTTCAGATCGTCTGCTTTCAAATCATCCAACTTCTCTGTTTCTCTTCAGCGCGTCCTCCTGCTCCTCCTCAAGCCCGGACCGAGCGCAGATCCTCTGGGTTGGTAATGACGGGAAGGAGTCCAAGCCCTCCCCCGTGTGGCCCCGGCCGCAGTGAGCACAGGTAGCCCGCGGCTGGTGCGCGTCTCACGGTTAGTGTTGAGAACAGCAAGCGGAGAACAAAGTGTGGACGGAGTGTGAGTCGCAGGAGCTCCGTGGGTTTGATGCACAGAGCAGAGAGGGAAACATCCGAGTGATGTCAGCAGAGCGTCACCAAGAGGACTTCAGCCGAAAAGCGGAGAGCTCCTCAGATAGAGAGAGAGGAGAGGAGAGGCTGCAGGAACATGTCTGGGTGCTCTGAGGTGCGCCCAGGTAGAAGCTGCTCTTCTCATAATTACACTAAAAAATGTTTCTCTGATAACATCAGCCAAAGAGCAAGATATAGCAGACATCACTCTGGATTTATCTGCTTTGTTTTTTTCAGCTTAAAAGATTTTTGTTTGGAGATTTATACTAGAATATTCCCCCTTCACAAAAGAAGGTCAACAAGATATTTTCCATCTTAGTTGCTTTTCAAAGAGCTTAATTTTCCAGATTATCCAAGTGAAAAAAAGATCAAAAACGCAACAGTTCTTTAAAATAGTTTGTTAATGCTGAGAACAAAAACGATTTCCTGATACAACTCTGTTTACATGTATGGTTAATACAACTATTCCTTATTTGTGCACATTAGTTATGTTTTTGACAAAAATTCTTTCACTAAAATGCTTATAATATTAAAGGAATAGTACACCCAAAACATGATTAGCCTTCATTTTCTAATCACCCCCATGCTGAACAACACCCTGGAG